CACACGCACACGCACACGCACACGCATGCGCACACGCACGCGAACACGCACACGCACACACGCGCACACGCACACGCACGCACACGCACACGCACACGTACACCCACACGCACAAAGACAAACACAAACACACAAACACATGCACTCACGCACGCACGCACAAACGTACACACGCACCAGTGCGCACATGCGCATACGCACACACGCACACACGCACAGACACACAAACCCTCACCCACACCCACTCATACCCGCGCCCACGCACAACAGGAACACCAGTAGCAACAACAACAACAACACATAATGCAAACAACACACACACACCGCACACCACACACCGCACAACACACAACACAAAACACACAACATACAACATAAACGCACACGTACGCGCACACACACACACTTTTTGCTTCCCGGTCGGTCAGTCCAACTCAACGAAGAGATCAGCGGGCTCGCTAATGCGAGTCAGCATCAAGCGTTCTTGATGGGAGGCAGCGGCTGAGATTGCGGTGCAGGACAACGGCGTGCACGACGCATGCAAAAGCGTACAGCCCCGAGAGCGAACACACACACACACACACTTTTTAAGTCGGGGCACAGAGGGACCTCAAGCGCGGTCGGCAGGTGGAGGTGCCAAACACACACACAACACACAACACACAACACATGCACACACAACGCACAACACACACAACACACACAGCACACACTCGCAAGCACGCACGCACGCACGCACACAGACACAGACACAGACACAGACACAAACACACACAAACAAAGCCAACACCCACACACACACACACACACACGCAAACGCACACACACACGAACGCACACGCACACCCTACACGCACAACACACACGTACACATACAGACAACACACACGCACAACACACAGACACACACAACACACATACACACAGACCACCCACAACACACAGACATACGGTCACACAGACACACAGACTCGCAGACACACAGACACGCAGACACATCGACACACAGACACACAGGCACACACACAACATACACACACCGACACGCAAACACACATATACGCACATAGACACACAGACACATATATACACACAACCACACTACATATATACATATGGTGCAAGTCATCCCGCTTGTCGTTCCTGCTCTCGATTACTACTCGTGCTGCCCTAGTCATGGCTCCCTCTCGCCGTCTGTCCCTTTCATCCACGTGCTTGTTACCCGTCTAGAAGACGGTCCTGGTACATCTCCCTCCAAGTGCTGCAGCGACCAGGCAATGGTCAGGCTGCCGCCGCAACTGGACGAAATCCTCGCAGTAATAATGTAATGAAGATGATGACAAGGACACCAGCGCACTGTCGAGGATGGTGGATAAGGACGAGACTCTGGTTCCAAAACTGCTCCCTTGAATCCAACCCCTCATCTCCCATATGCCTGCGGTGACACGACGCGAACACAATTGCATGTACCCTATTGAGCGTTTATGGTCCTGAACTTTTGCTCAGCGTGTCGCCGCGGCGGCCCCGGCGACACGCTATGCCCCGCACGCGGATAGCGTTTCGCTCTGCTCCGCGGGGCGGGAGGCGCGGAACGGCCCAGGACGCTGAAGCCCCGGGACTGGGAAACGGATAGCGTGTCGTGCCCAAAGCGTGGTAGGCCAACACCGGCAGAACGACACGCTATCCAAAATGTCCCGACCGTGCGTTTGACTAGCGCAGCCTTTGCAAACGGGTTCTAGCAAGCAAGCGTGATTGCCGCTCAGTCTGCACGCGAAGCCGAGAGCCCGCCGATCTGTCAGCCGCGTAAATTTGAGCAGACCTTATTCGGAAAAGCCAGCCCCGCACAAGGATACGGCTGGCTCCTGCAGCCCGACAAGAGCATTGGGTTCTGATGCCGCGTGAACGGTTCCTAGGGCAACACAGGAACGGCATAAACATGAGAGTGAGTGGGCAGAAAGGTCATTCGCTGTCCCTGGGCGCGTTGCTGAAGTGGTGTTCCGAGGTGCGGCTTGTTGTTGCGCTGTTGTTGACATCTCATTTCTGAAAAATGATTTTTGTTGATCCCCCGTTGCCCGGCGCTCATGGTGCTTTTTCCCAACCATCCTGTGGTGTTGGGCCTCGTTTTGAAATGACGGTCCCCGCGTTCTTCCTCTCCTCTCCTGTCCTTCTCCTCCCCCTCCTCCCGTCACCACCCTCACTTTGGCACACCCCTCACACGCTTCGTGGCCCCATAGAGAGCTCCACCGAAGGCCCAAGTGCCACCGTCCACATGCGTCCCCCGCACCCATTTCGGCACACCCCTCACACGTTTCGTGGCCCCATTGGGAGCTCCACCGGAGGCCCCAGTGCCACCGTCCGCATGCGTCCCCGCACCAATTTCGGCAAACCCCTCACACGTTTCGTGGCCCCATGGGGTGATCCACTGAAGGCCCCAGTGCCACCGTCCACATGGGTCCCCCGAACCAATTTCGGCACACTCCTCACACGTTTCGTGGCCCCATCGGGAGCTCCACCGAAGGCCCCAGTGCCACCGTCCACATGCGTCCCCCGCACCGATTTCGGCACACCCCTCACACTTTACGTGGCCCCATAGGGTGCTCCACCGAAGGCCCCAATGCCACCGTCCACATGCGCCCCCCGCACCAATTTCGGCACACCCCTCACACGTTTCGTGGCCGCCTGTCGCGCCAACGCTGTCACCTGGGGCCGGGAGGAGCGTTGCTACGTTGTTGTTGTTGCTGTTGTTGTTGTTGTCGTTGTTGTTGTGGTTGTCTTTGTCGTTGTTGTTGTTGTTGTTGTTGTTGTCTTTGCTGTTGTTGTTGTTGTTGCTGCTGTTGTTGTTGTTGTTGTTGTTGTTGTTGTTGTTGTTGTTGTTGTTGTTGTTGTTGTTAAACTCTCCTTTCTGACAACATATGTATTGTTGATCCCACCCTCCGGTAACCATTGTACCTTTCCTATCGAACTGCCCCTCCCGGGGCGCGCACCCTGTCAATTACCAGGGAAAATATTGAACCTCAAACTGGGCGGCGGGCCCCCGAGTTACAACAACAACAACAACAACGATTCCCGCCTGATACTTCCTCACAATCTATTGAGAAAACAATCTTTCGCTTCCTTGCGCTCTACTCAGGAACTGCGCTCTCGCTTTCGATTTCTTTACAATTTATTCAGGTGCCGCTCCTCGAGATGGGCGGCGGGCCCCCGAACTACTACAACAGCAACAACTCCCGCCTGATACTTCTTCATAACCGATTGAACTATTAGACTTTCGCCTGGGACTCCCTTGCAATCTAGTGAGGAATCGCGCTCTCGTTTGGACCCCCCGCAAATTATTCAGATGCCGCTCCTCGACACTCAGGAATCGCGCCTTCGTTTTGGACTTCCTCCAAATTTTCTTGGGAATTGCGCTCACGCAAAAGATTTCATTTCGATTCAAACAGGACTCGCGCTTCAACGACCCGCCCGCTCGACCCGCTCGTCGGGGCCCGCCCGCCCGACCCGCTCGTTAGGGACGGCAGCCGCCCCACGCTGTCCTTCGCCCGCTCTCGATGCCCATCGCTGCCCGTAGGGGTTCTGCGGTCGGCTTCGCTCGTGCCCTCCGTGGACCCGTTGCTGCCCTCAGTGGCCCCATCGCTGCCCGGTGTGGCCCCGCATTTTTCGATCCTCTTCGTGGCCCCCGCTCGTACGCGCCCGTCGTGGCCCCATGCGCGTGCCCTTCGTGGCCCCGCTGTCGCCCTTCGTGGCCCCCTCGCTGTCCTTCGTGGCCGCATTACTGCACTTCGGGGCCCCGCTGTCGCCCTTAGTGGCCCCATCTGCGTCTGCTCTTCGTGGCCCCCGCTCGCTCGCGCCTGTCGTGGCCCCATATGCATGCCCTTCGTGGCCACGCTGTCGCCCTTGTGGCCCCCTCGCTGCCATTCGTGGCCCTGGTGCTACCCTTGGCGGCCCCATCGATGCCCTCTTTGGCACCGCATTCTGTGCCCTTCGTGGCCCCCGCTCGCTCGCGCCCTTCGCGGCCCCATACGCATGCCCTTCGTGGCCCTGTTGTCGCCCTTCGTGGCCCCCACGCTGCCCTTCGTGGTCCCATCACTGCCCTTCGTGGCCCCGTTGCCGACCTCTCTGGCTCAATATATGTATGCCCTTCGTGGCCCTCGCTCGTTCGCGCCCGTCGTGGCCCCATGCGCATGCCCTTCGTGGCCCCGCTGTCGCCCTTCGTGGCCCCCTCGCTGCCCTTCGTGGCCCCGTTGCTGCCTTCAGTGGCCCCGTCCCAGCCATCTGCGGCCCCATCTACGTATTCCCTTCGTTGCCCCCGCTCGCTCGCGCCCGTCGTGGCCCCATATGCATGCTCTTCGTGGCCCCGCTGTCGCCCTTTGTTGCCCCCTCGCTGTCCTTCGTGGCCCCGTTGCTACCCTCAGTGGCCCCGTCGTTGCCCTCTGTGGCCCCGCATTCTATGCCCTTTGTGGCCCCCGCACGCTCGCTCGCGCCCTTCGTGGCCCCATGCGCATACCCTCCGTGGCCCCGCTGTCGCCCTTCGTGGCCCCTTCGCTGCCCTTCGTGGCCCCGTTTCTGCCCTCAGTGGCCCCCGCTCAGACCTTCGTGGTCCCATTTACGCATGCTTTTCGTGGCCCCCGCTCGTTCGCGCCCGTCGCGGCTCCATATGCGTGCCCTTCGTGGCCCCGCTGTCGCCCTTCGTGGCCCCCTCGCTGCCCTTCGTGGCCCCGTTGCTGCCCTCAGTGGCCCCTGCCCCCTGCCGTCTGCGGCCCCATATACGTATGCCTTTCGTGTCCCCCGCTTGCTCGCGCCCGTCGTGGCCCGATTGCTGCCCTTTCGTCGCCCCGTTGCTGCCCTTCGTCGCCCTGCTGTTGAAATTGGTGGCCCCCTCGCTGACCTTGGTGGCCCTTTTGCTGCCTTTAGTGGCCCCGTCCCTGCCATCTGCGGCCTCATCTACGTATTCCCTTCGTGGCCCCCGCACGCTCGCTCGCGCCCGTCGTGGCCCCATTTGCGTGCCCTTCGTGGCCCCGCTGTCGCCCTTTGTGGCCCCCTCGCTGCCCGTCGTGGCCCCGTTTCTGCCATCAGTGGCCCCCGCGCTGACCTTCGTGGTCCCATTTACGCATGCCCTTCGTTGCCCCCGTTCGTTCGCGCCCTTCGTGGCCTCCTCGCTGCCTTCGTGGCCCCAGCGCGGCGCTCGCGCCATCGTTGCACGTCGTGGCCCCGCTGCTGCCTTTCGTGGTCTTATTTCTGCCCTCCCTGGCTCCAGTTCGCTCCTGCTCTCAATGGCTTCCCGCTGGCCTTCGTGGTCTTTTTTTGCCTTCTGGCCTTCGTGGTCAATGGCTTCCTTCTGTCCTTCGTGGTCCCACATCGACTTGTTAGCCCACCTTGTCTGGTCGCGCGAATCCGGATGGCTTCCGAATTCTCGGCGCGCCTCCTAGCCCCACTACTGCTACTCTCTCTCGTGCTCCATCCTCCTCCCTCTCTCTTGTCCCTTCCTTCCGTCCGTCCTCTCTTCCCCTGGCTCAGGGATTGCGCGAAATACACGTTGCAGGTGAGAAAGATATACCCCCAAAGGGGTACAATCGAAGACGAAGAGGGCGGGCATCGAGGGTCTGGAAGATACGTGTTGACTGGCACGCGAGCAGATAAGAGCGAACAGTCTTGAAGTGATTGTTGTTGTTGTGGTTGCTGTTGTGGTTGTGGTTGTGGTTGTGGTTGTGGTTGTGGTGGTGATTGTTGTTGTTGTTGTTGTTGTTGTTGTTGTTGTTGTCGTTGTCTTCGCACACAGCCCGCCCGCGACCCACGCGCGATCCATCCCGCGCCCGCTCCCTCACTCTTATCCGTGAGTGCGGGGTGCTGCGTAAGCTTTCGGAGCTCCGCGCGGATTCCTGGGGTCGGCGCTGGGCCCCCCTTCCCCGGCGCGCGGAGCGCGCCGGTGGCGGGGCCGGAGGCGCCGCCAGGGATGCCCACCGCCGATCCAAGAAATCCGCGCGGACCCCCGAGAAACTATGTTTCCGTTCTCTGTTCCTCGAGCATCCGACAGGGAGGACGGCGGCCCCGCTCTTCTTTGGTGTGCGAGCTTATGATCCCCGGCCCCCGGAACCAGTCAGGCAGGAGAGCAAGGGCATCTATCACAAGATGCGCAGAGGGCAAGGGAAGGCCGACTTTGGGGGCGGCGGCAAAGGCGGCAGCCTGTAGATTCTGTTTCCGTTGTCTGCTCTTCGAGCTTCACCCGTTGAGCGATCTGCGCTGCGGAGGGCCCCCAGAGGCTGTCGGCTCCATCCTCTGCGCAGCCCCTGCGCCGTGGGTCGGTCTCTCTCGGCCCCGGGGGCCCGGGGCGGACTCCCTATAGGCGGCCGCGCTCTCGACCGCGGACCCCTGGCCACCTCCCCCGTCCTCACCCCTCGGCCCTGTGCGGCCTTCGGCGATCTTCGGGCAGCCTCTGGGCGCAGAAGCCTGATGTTTTTTTCGCTCGGCGAGGGCTCCGTGGACGAACGCCCGCAGAGGCATCGGACGCTGGCGCAGGCGTCGCCGCCGCGTCGAGGCAGCGACAAAACGCCAGCTGAGATTATTCTTTTCATTAGGCAGCATAGAGGACCACTTCGTGAAATATTCACCTGCACGTGATAAGTAGGTATACTACACTCGAGAGCTGACAGGTCACTAGTGCCTCGCTGTCACGCTGCAGCTGAGAGCATCCGATAAGAGCGCAGGCCCCGGGAGGGGGGCGGCTGGGGCAGTTGGGGGTGCCCTTCTCCGCCCACGGCCTCGATGCCTCGAGGCCCGCTGCACGAGGAGATCTGGGCCCCTCGTCCCGAAAGAAGCCCTGAGACACACAAATAAATACACACAAATAAACAACATCCCATATTTTCCTATATTTTCTGGGTTGCTGTCTTCACCCCCACTTCCCATATTTTCCCATATTTTCTGGGAATCGACGATGAATTGTGTCTGTGTGTTTTCCCCTCCTGAGTTTTGGGCTTCGCTTCGATTCGGAGGTCCGTGCGCACCACCTGGAACGGGGCTGGGCCCCCCTAAGCGGCGCCTCCAGCGCCGCACTGGGCGCACCCCGCAGGCCCCAGGGAGGGGGTCCAGCGCCGCTCCAAGAAATCCGCGCGAACCTCCAACAGATTATGTTTATGTGCTTCTCCCTGTTCTCTTCTCTTTTCTATGGACTCGCCAGAGCTGTGCGCTCCTTCAATGGCAGCTGATTGGTTCTTCAGGAATTCGGCATGGCCCCACTTTCATCGAAGCTCTCGCTATCGGAATTCCTCCTCCTTCTCCTCCTCCTTCTCCTGCTCCTCTTCCTCCTCTACGCGTGAGCGCGACCAACCGTCGCTTAAGCGACAACCACGGTCATCGCACAACTTGACTAAAGCGTCTTTGAATTAATTGGCGCACGCTTGATATGAATTCTTTGCATCCACTACTGAATCGCGAATACACTGGTACCTAGCTCCACTTGCTCAGCTTTGCGTACTACCGGCGAGAGCAGAAGGGGAATTGAGACATCGGGGGAATCAAATAGCCAACATAAAGAGGATGATAATGATCATGGTGATGGTTAACTGTTTTTGGCATGAGAGCGGCTGCCCAACAATTCAAGTTTCTTAGCAGGGGTCATTCGATATGATGATGGTGCGTGGACCCCACACAATTCAACATTGACCCAAGGGCACAAAGTAGCTACGCGACGGGATTGCGGACCCCATGGGCGACGACAACAACGTGACCCACCCTAGCTGATCCGCCTTCCGTCCTGATACCTGTAGGTGTGCTAGGGAAATATGCTCATCAAATCCAAGGAAGTGTTCAGCGCGGGGCCCCTTTTGAAACAATGACGACCCTGTTGCAATATTTCCAACTTCTAGTCTTAATCCATGAGCTGGCCTCTAGCAATACACCATTGCTGAAAATGAGCAGCCTCCCATCTGCGCAACTGATGAGCAATGTCAATGCGAATTCGCGACGCCGAGGGGATGATCACGTTTAGAACACGAGCTGTCCGACTGTGTAGCAACTGGGAGCTTTTGATACGAATGAGCGCGAGCGTGGCGCTAAGACGAGAACTACACGGTGAAAAGCATTCGCCTTTCATCCGTGTGCAGTAGGAGCCCGACCACAAGAAACCTTCCACAAGAAACCCAACCCTGAGACCCCAGGACGTCCGTTGATTTTCGGTGTGGGGACGTCACGGTTTCCATCGCAAAACCATCGAAACACAAGAAACCTAGGGCACCCTGGAGGCAAGCAGGGTGTTCCTTGGCATGGGTTTCTACTGGAACTGTTGCAAACTTTGAAGACGAAGGTGCGCGGCGCCAGGGACGAGAGGCACGCCCTGAGAACCATCCGCCCTCCGTCCGCGCAACTGCTGGAAGCTTCCGGCTTCAATACCATCATCTGTGATGGGGAGGTTGAGGGACGAGGGGCGGAGGGGGGGAGGAGGAATTGGGGTAGGAGGAGGGAGACAGAGGGGGAGGAGGGAGTGAGACGGGAAGTGGAGGATGGGGACACAGGAAGGGGGAGGGATGGGGGAGGAGGGAAGGAGACAGAGGGGGGAGGAGGAGGCGCAGGAGGAAGGGACAGAGGGGGAGGAGGGAGGGGAGGAGGAGGAGGGGGAGGAGGGAGGAGGGGGAGGGAGGAGGGAGGAGACAAGGAGTGGGACAGATGGGGAGGGGGCCCCTCGGGGCCGTCGCCCAAGCTGCGCGGGGCCGTCGCCCCCCCCCCTCCCCCTAGGCGCGGCCGCGGGGGATCCTGCGCCGACAGGAGCAGCAAGGAGGCCGACGACGCGGCCACCGCGATCCTCGAGGGCAGCCGGGTGGCCGGCAGGGTGGCCAGCAGGGGGAGGAGGAGGATGAGGATGAGGATGAGGATGAGGATGAGGATGAGGATGAGGATGAGGAGGAGGAGGAAGAGGAGGAGGAGGAGGAGGAGGAGGAGGAGGAGGAGGAGGAGGAGGAGGAGGAGGAGGAGGAGGAGGAGGAGGAGGAGGAGGAGGAGGAGGAGGAGGAGGAGGAGGAGGAGGAGGAGGAGGAGGAGGAGGAGGAGGAGGAGGCAGCGGCGGCGGCGGCGGCAAAGGGTGGGTGGGTGGGCGGGATCCCGTATGCCGCTCCGCGGCTGGGCCACCCAGCAAGGTGGCCGGCAAAGGTAGATCTGCACAGCCGGGAATCTGTAGAGCCGGGCTCTCTGAGAGCGGAAGCGGTCTGCGGGTCTCGCCGCAGCGTGCCAAGGGCTGCTCCTGCGTCATCCGCTGCTGCCAGAGCATCGGGTGCGCTGCAGGAGGGGGAAACAGCGCATCGTAGCCCGAGGCATGCGGCGGGTTCCGAAAGCCCTGAACCCAAAACGGTTGCCATCTCTTTGGGGCGCATTTTTTTTGTTACTTCCGCCAGCGTTCGCTGGCCTTCCGCCAGCGGAGCCGCCCCCGCTCTGCTTCCGCGGGCTTCCGCGCCGCCCTTCGGCCGAGGGGGGAAGAGATGGCAACTCCCTCGATCCTCGAAGGCGAAGCCCTTTCTGGAACTCTTCGTGTGCGTGGGCGAGGGCAGGGGGGGGGGGGGGCGGACGAGGGGGCCAGGACGTCGGAGAGACTAGACCCGCCCCCCCCCCGCCCCCGGTTCTCCCCCCCCTTCCTCGTCGCCCCCGCACTTGCTGTCCTACGGTAGGCACCGACAGTGCCAGCTTCTTCGGAAGGGGGGCCCGAGCTCGCGCGCAGCCGCTGCCAGCAGTCAGGAAGGCCCACGGGCGGCAGGGGGGCCGAGGGAACACCGGCCTCGATGGCCTGGACCTCCGGCGCCCTGGATGGATGGGGAGGCACTCCCGCCGGAATGCTGTGGGGCGTCGTCAGGAAGTTTTTTGTTTTGCTTTGTTTTTCTTCTTCTTCTTCCTGAAAGGCATTAAGGTGACTTACAGCACGTTCTGAAAAATGAAGCGATGCCCGTCCAGCATCAGACAGATCCGCTTCCCCTCGTGGGGGCTATAAACGCACCCATTGGATACAGGCTGTGGGGCGTCGTCGGGAAGCGGGACGATGGGACTCTCTGGGAGCTCGATCCTGGTACCGGCGCGCTCACGCTCGGTGTCCCCTGGCTTCGGAGGACGGGGCTCCCGTGGGGAGCGACCGAGGGAGGACCGATCGAGGTCGGGGGTTGACGCAGCAAGATCTGCCAGCGCAGGCTCCAGGTGGACCAGAATATTGATAGGAAGCGTGACTGGAGCGGACTGAAGCAGACATGACAGGATTGCACTGGACTGGACTGAGGTGGAAGCCTGCAATCTATTCTATTCTATCCTACTGTACTCTACTCTACTCTACTCTACTCTACCCTACCCTACTCTATTATACTCTACTCTACTCTACTCTACTCGACTATACTCTGTTCTGCGCTACTCTACTTTACCCTACCCTACCCTAGCCTGCTCTACTCTACGCTGCTCGTGCTCTACTCCTACTCTACCCCTACTCTACCCCTACTCTACTCCACTTTACTCTACTCTACTCTACTCTTCTCTTCTCTATTCTACTCTACTCCTACTCCTATTCCGATTTGCTCGGATCTGCTCTACTCTACTCATCTTCTCTTCTCTTCTCTATTCTGCTCTACCTTCGTATATGTACTCTATACTACTCAATTCTACCCGACCCTACTCTATCATCTACTCTACTCTGCTCTAATCTACCCTACTCTACTCGACTCTTCTCTACTCTACTCCACTCTAGTATACTGTACTCCTACTCTGATCGGCTCTAGTATACTCGTATGCTCTGTTCTTCCATACTCTGCAATACAGTCGTCTGCTGTACTCTATTCTACTCAATTATACCCGACCCTACTCTATCATCTACCCTACTCTACTCTACTCTGCTCTCCAAAACGCTACTATATTCTTCCTGGTTCAACTCTACCCTCTACCCCACTCTCATATACTCTGCCCTGCTCTACCCTATTCTACTCTACCCTACCCTACCATTTCCTACTCTACTCAACTCTTCTCTGCTGTAATCCTACTCTGTTCTACTCTTACTCTACTCTACTCTAGTCTACTCTTCTACTCTCTCCTCTGCTCTCCTCTGCCTTTCGTTGCTCTACTCTGCTCTGCTCTTCTCTACTCTACTCTATGCTGTTATGCTCTACTCTGCTCATCTACTCTTCTCTACTCGGAAGCTGGGCGATAGCTGGGAAATCAGTGGCTGATAAAACAATCTTTCCGGAACAAATAAATCAAACTCCCGAAATAAAGCCCAACGCACTAAATAGTAAACGGGCTGCTTCCCAAAAATAAAAATCAATTTCCCGGAGCTCCGTTTTAGTAACCAAGGGCTTGCCAGCCTTCTCCGGGCTTCTGATCTACTTGGTTTTACCACTACTCTACTCTGATCTACTCCTGCTCTACTATACTTCATTCTCATCTCATCCACTCTACTCTACTCTACTCTGCTCTACTCTACTCGATTCTGCTCTACTCATATACTCTTCTCTACTCTACTCTGCTGTATGTGTTCTGCTCCACTTCTGAGTTTGACGACTGTTGGGATGCCATTGGAATAGCGACAAGCAGCTGCTGCAACAGTAGAGGGAACCACTGTAATCCCACCAGCCCTCTGGGCGCAGGTGGTCTAACGAGATTCCTTTTCCCTTTTCCCAAAAACCCCTCTTCCCCTACGGGGAGGGGTTTACCCCTCCCCATACCCCTCCCCTGCGTTTTTTTGAGGGGCCCTGCGAGGTGTCAGGGCGTCCAAAACGGCCTCGGCGAGGAAGCCAAAGTCATGACTTTTCTCACTCAGCAGTAGACTCTGTAGTGAAGTCAGGCTTGAAGTTCACTTTCGGGGCACCAGCTTCTCACTGCCTTGCAGAACTACGAGACAGCAAGGCGCTAGCACTCCTTTAAAGGGTGCGAGGGTTTGGGGAGCAGAGGAGCGGTTATGGAAAGATACATCACCGAACGTTCACAAAGCATTCAAGTGCCCGCACAGCCATGACTTTTCTCACTCAGCAACAGGTTCTGTAGTGAAGTCAGGCCTCGAATTCACTCGCGGGGCACCAACTTCGCACTGCCTTGTAGAACTGCGGGACAGCAAGGCGCTAGCACTCCCGGAATCATAAAATGACAACTCCCGGGGGCCATTCTTGCACTGTTTACCGTGGCGCACAAATCTTACGGAGGCGCGAGCACAAAAGGCGATGGTACGGTTGAACAATCAAAGTCCAGAAGCGGCCATCAGCCGCTTTTCCCTCGAGGACACAGCCAGTCCGACTGCAAATACCTGTCCCTGAGCATTTGCGCTGAACCTTGCTTGAGCTTTCACAGGCATTGCAGATCATGAAGCGTGTGGCCTTTCGCCCCTTGGTGCCACATGGACAGACATGGGTATCGCGAGTCACGACTCTAGGCAGGGCGGCGGTTCTCTGAAAGCCGGGGAGCTTCCAAAGCAACGAGGTCTGAGGATTCCCTATTATACAGATCTTCCCAAGCTTACGGCACTAGTTAAATGCACGAAGCGAAAAAAAACGACTAAACAGTTTCCAACGCTGACTTTTTCTCGATCCGAGTCAGAGACCAAAAACATGCGAGTTGGTTCTCAAGGGCGGGGGTCTCCCACGCCGAGCTCTCGAACAAGTCGCACAGGGGCAGCCTATCGGGGCGCCTCTACATTCGTGGCTGAGAAGTCTAGCGATCACCTGTCTCTGAACTGATCTCTTACTCAAGTCTTCATGGGGTCGGTGGGTGACGACAGTCGAGATAGCTCGCCCGCCCGACTGCTTCGCGGCCCCTGCGAACCTGCCGCCCCCGAGAAAATGTCCTCCACATTCCAGCTGGCGGCAAGGTTGGGAGCCCGAAGGATCCGTTCCGTTCGTCGAGATTTCCCCACTGATGCTTTGCACACGCCGTCGCGTAGTCTCTGGACAGTCTGGGTAAGATCTGCCATCGCTCGAGGATCCTTCTTCTCTTCTTCGAACGTATTACGCTGCTTTTGCTTTGCCATCGCCCTTCTTTTCTGGTCTCTCCAGGTCGTAGAACGTGATTGAGAGTCGACAGAGGCCCCGCTGGGTCGGACCAAGTACAGCATCATGTTCGGCATCTTGACCCTGGCGGCGGCCACCTTCACCATCTTGGCGAACTCGGGCCCGAAGACGAGCCCCCCGTGGCGCGCGATGTCTTGAGCCGGCGCCACCAACCAGTGAGCAAGTAGCGCGTGCACCTCACCTGGCCGCCCGTCGGTGCCAAGCAGCATTAGGAGCGCGAAGACTGCCACAATGACATCTGCTCCCGTGGCAGCCCCGTGCATAGCGCGGCCCACGCCTCGAAGGCCTCTGGGAGGCGAGAAGAGCCTGGGGCTCGCGTGTCCCAGCCCCTGAGCGCACGGTGCGCTGGAAGAAGACTCAGGTCCCCCTTCCTCCTACTCTCGAGCTTGTAGTCCAGCCAAGCTGCAGTCAGCTGATGGCCACTGTAGTCGTCCTTGTCCTCGAAGTATATCTTGCCGAACAGGTAGCACAACATCTGGTCGGAATCCAGCGCTTCCAACAGACTCACCTTCCTCTTCTGGGCGCGGTCCGAGATCATGTCCACGGCAAACGAGCGCGTCTCCCTGGTTGAGGCATGCACCGCTCCGTTCGCCAAGAAGTTCCTGCCACTCCGCGCGGCTGAGGCCCAGTCCGCGTCCTGGGGGTGAAGCCTCTTCGCGGTCCTGCTCTTCCTGGCCGTCGGTCTCGTCTCCTGCCACCTCTTCGATATCCGTTCCTGCGCCCAGGCAAGTACTGGCGGCCTGGAATAGGTCCGAACTGCGTTGGTCAGGTCGGCCCTCGCCACTGGGTATCTCGGCGGCGCCAGCAGCCAGGGGTCGAGGCTCATGAAGTACGCATTCAGGATCGGGGAGGGTGCGCCCGAGGGGTGCACGCGGGGCCTTGCCACCTGAGGCTGGCTCGAACCGACGAGATGGCTCATCGGCGGGGTTCATCGCGAGGGCTGCGAAACGACGGCAACAATAGTCCAGCTTGGCATCGCTGGCCCGACCCTTCGAACAAGCCAAGACAACTCCCATATTCTCACATAAATAAACCCGACGTCGACTATGGAAACGATGATCTTTAGATTGACGACGCAAGGCCCAAACCACTGCTTTGGCCTCTAGTAAGTGAACGGGTTCTTCACGAAAAAACGGCTTGAATACATAAGACGCCATTGGGCACTCTTGATGGGCTCGGAGGGCACCTTTGGGAAGTTGGAGTCCTCCTCCCATAGCTCTGGCTGAGTAGTCCCTCGGGGTACCTTCACCGTGAACGGATCTGATATGGCGTCTCGAACTCCGGCCCCCAGGCCGCAACAGCACGAGGCCGAGGGCGGCAGATTCTGAGCTCCTCAGGACTACGGAAACGTTGCCGCTCATCTCGGCGCCCACAGCCTTTCACGAACTCAAGATCCATTTCCGCAGCCACTACGCCCATTCCAGAAAGACAAGCACCTGTAGCTATAACCCGCTGGTCTTACTCTAGAGCCCAAGAAGACCGGGTGGGCAAGAAGGGCACCCGACAGAGATCGCGTTCCTTTGCGGCGGGTCCCTGCAATGGAATATCACGAGCCCCACCTACTCGAGCAAACTGGAGACACAAGCGCCGACAACAAAGGTCTCCTGAGCATGAAGGCGACGGTGAGATGTCCAACGAGCTTCTCCATGCCCTTTGGACTGAGCGTGCCTCGGGCCAGGGCCCAGCTGATGAAGCGATCAAGTCTCCGGAATCTCTTTTCTGCCGTCCGAGCCGCCGAACGGGCGCCATCCAATGTAACTCCCAGGTTGGCGCTCTGAGAGCAGGCGCTCTCGTCGCCGTGCGTCGCCAAGCCTGCCTCATTGAATCTCTGGGGGGCCTCGTCCTTCAGGCGCTGAACCAGCTTCTTGCAGCCTCCTGGCGCGCCGACATTGTCCGCGTGGACATATTGTGCCGTGTCTTGAAAGTACTGCAGCAGCTGTCCCACTCCGAAGTTCTGGAGCAAGCTGGCAGACTTCAGCTCGGGCGCCATCTCGACGAGCCCCTAGTTGGCCACCTGCGCGAAATAGAGGCTCCACTTGAACCTCGTCGGCAGCGCGGCGAAGCAGGGGTGGGCCCAGTCCTCGGGGCTGAGAGGGGCGCCCTCAAGAAGCCCTCCAGCGTGCCCCGCATCGCGAGCTCGTAGGGCAGGTGGGCCAAAGTGCCGACTCAACTCCTCTGAGGTCCGCAATCTGTAGAAACAGCCCTGCGCGTCTGTCGAGGCCGTGTGCGCCGCGAGGTCGTTCGACACCTCCAGCTCGCCAAAAGATTCACAGGTGCGAGGCTGACTGAAGGTGGATTGTGAAAGCGGCGATTAGCTCGCCTGGCGTCAACGATCAGGCGCTGACGAGAATCCTTCTTCTTCGCAGAAAAGAACGTCACTCTTTCCATCGCGTAGCGGCTCCCACGCACGACGCCCTTCTCAACGAGCTGTCTGGCAAAGGTGGTGTACATGCCAACGTCGGACTTCAGACGCAAATCAAGGTGGGGCACGATGGGGCCATCATTATCCTCAATCTCCCAAAACTCCACATCCGATCTGACGATCCGCTCCTCAAGCCGGCAGAGGAGATCTCGATCGCGACCCTCCAGCAGGTCCTCGGCAAACAGGCGCGAATGGACCTCGGGAGGGGGGGGGGGCAACTTTGGCCGAAATGGCGCAACGGGTGACTCTTCCCAGCTGTAGCCAGCTCGAGCATGCAGAAGCTTGTTGGAAGCTTCATGCGGTTGCGGTACGGGCCCAGTGGGGGCGCTCCCCCTGGCGGCCTCCATCAGTCTTCCCAAGACACGAGGATGACTCTCCAAGCACTTCTCCGGAGTAGTGCCATCACATCCAGCAAACCAATTCAAAGACTCCACGGCGTGGCTTACCCGCAAAGTGGCACGGCGGTCTCGCCCGACGCGTTGTCGCGGGCCCCGGGAGAGATGAGCCCCAGCGACCTCAGGAACAGGCAGCGCGGGAAGAGGAAAAAACCCACGATAACCCTGCAACATAACAAAACTGTAGATGGACAACCCACCGGGTAAAAATCACCGCTCGCCTCGGTCGCACTTGGCCCCTCATCCGCCCCCGAGGACTTGGGCAGAGGGAGGGCGCGGCTCGCGTCTTCTTCGGTGGCTGGGGCTGCGTCTTCGGGCCCCGAGCCTCCTCTGCCTTATGTCTGGCCGTCTCTATCTCGGCCTGGTCCTTCGCCCGCTTAGCGATGTGCGCTGACGGCGAAGGAGCGATTCCCTGAGTGCGCTGCTGCGCGCCCATCCAGAGCTCGACGCCTTCAAACTTGGGATCTCCTGGATCGCGGGAATCATCGTCCAGGAGAAGCTGCCGCCGTCTTGAGAGCGCCTCGAAGCACGATGACGGAATATTCAATTGATTATATGGACCAGCATACTCGGGAATCCTGCGTGTGACTTGCAACCCGTAAGCTGTGCGATCAGTGGGGGCAATTTTCGACTCGGCCAAGAAACGATAGTGCTGCTGCATGGGGCTGCCTCCAGCTCGCTCCACGCGCTTCAGCCGCCATTGAGTGGTCCTGGGGCCTTCGATGGGCCAGCTCTCATATGCGTTCTCAGACGCCGAGGCGGCAACGCGCCGCCAGGGCCTCCACCTCTCGCCCTGCTCGTCGTGCAGCACCGCCAGCGTCCTGGCGTCATCCTCGTCCTCGCCGATATCCTTCGCCCCCTCGACTCTCTGCCCAGAACCGTCTCGCGGGGTGGCAGCTCCTCCCGCCCAATCCAGGATGGCAGCGCGCCGCGAATCGGCGTGGGTGCCGATCTCATCCCCGCGGATCTTCTCCACGAGCACCACCTCCTCAATGCCGCCTGCGGCACGCATGCGGTAGAGACCCATCGGGCCGACCACCGCCTTCAGCTTGCCACCGCTGACGCGCTGGCCCAGGGAGAAGCTCGGCGTCGCGGCAGCCGCGACCCGCGCCGAACCTGGCTCAGCGTCGAGAACAGCTCGCTCAGGCGCTTCTGCTCCTGGGGTCATCTCTGGCCCCGGAAATCGCCGAGAGGGAACTCGGCGCCGCCCGAGTCACGCCCGCCACGCGCGTCCTCGGCCTTCACCAGGTCGGGCGCGCCTTCGGCATGCAATCGCACGGCCTCAGCATGCCTTCGCGGATGGCAAGACGCACCGCCTCTACCTCCGGCCCCGCTCGGAAACGATGCGCCGGGAACTCCAGATTGGCAGGGGGGCGTCCTCCCCGCCGCGCAGGGCAGATCTCCTCAATGTCTTCTCCATCCAGGATCTCGTCATCGATGTCGTCGTCTGGAGTCAACGCTGTCCAATGTCTACCGGGGAGAGGCCAAAGTGGGACGCGCTCGTGTACCAGGTCCTCGTCGTACTTGAACAGCAGCCGAGTCCCCGGTCGAAGGGTATCCCACCACGCCTCGCTTCCCACTCGAGGGGCTCGCGGCTGCAGCGTGTCTCCAGCTGCGACCCGCAGCCCGCTGTCCCACCAAGGTCTAGGAAGAACCGCCACACTACCCAGTACTTCGTACGTGTGCCTCTTCGGTGCCTCCACACTCTCGCACGGCACGGGCGCTGGGCAGGGTGGCGCCTCCACCGGTGGGCACGTGAGGCTCGGGCAGCTTACCTCGGGGCACCTCAGGCCGCAGGTCGCTGCCCCACCGCAGCGCAGCTCGCAGGCAGGACAACGACGGGGCCGCGGGCACGTCACTTGTCCCGCGATGGCAGCAAGTGGGCTATGTCGGAGAGCCCGAGCAACAACATCCTGAAACCCTGCGTTCCCCAGCAGGGCGGGAAACATGCAGGTCCTCCGAAAGACTCGAACAGAGGAGCGGCTATGGAAAGATACATCGCCGAAGCGTCCACAAAGCGCCCGCATAGCCATTGGTTTTACTAAGGTTTTGGCCCCGTTTGGGCCTTTTCGGGGGGGCTGAACGTTGGGCGACCAGTCCTCTTGGTTTTATTAAGGTTGTGGCCCCCCGTTTTGCCCTTGTTGGGGAGGGGGGAGGGGGCTGAACGTCATCCCGCCAGCCCTCTGGGCACCCAAATCATAAGTTTTAGTGAGGTTTTGGCTCCATTTTGGCCATTTTTGGGGGGCTGAACGTTATGCCATCTCCTCCTGTGATCGATGGCCTTTAAAATGGCCCCAAGAGGCCTTCCACGGCCCCGGAAAAGGGCCCCAAGAGAGCCCCAAGAGGCCTCAAGAGGGCCCCAAGATCCCTGAAAGAGCCCAGAGAAAACTCCAATACACTTTCAAAGGGCCCCGGGGAAGCTCCAATAGGCCATTTTGAAAGCTTCTGGGAGGGGGCCGACATCGAGGACCCCCCATTTTTTGATCGATGCTCTCCTAGATGGCCCCGACAGGCTTTCCAGGGCACCAGCCGCAGCGCCAGCAGAGGCAGCAACAACATCAGCAACGCCGCCACCAGCAGCAGCATCACCAGGGATCACGCTCTTTGGGTCCCTCCACCTCTTCCTCCTCTCCTTCTCGCCCCCGCGCGGACCCCAGGGATACCCCAAAAGGCCTTCCACGGCCACCCCCTTGCTTCCAGAAATCTCCCGGGTCATCCTGGTTGCTCGCTTTGTTTCCCTAGATGTGTCCTTTCGTCCCTTTTCCCGTCAGCTCTCGTGGGCAGGGCTTCTGAATGGGCTGATGGGGATTTTTTGATCGCAAGCAAACCGGGAGGCCAGGCGCCGTCCGAAGCAACGCAGCTAAAGAGCAGCGGCCAGAATTCCGCGGCAGAAGAGGAAAGAGGAACAACGCGGAAGAAAAAACAAAGAAAGAGCACGCAGGAGGCGAGCTACGCTGCGGCTCAGGAGACGCGGTAGACCAGGAAAAACCACCACTCGAGGTGTAACACCAAAATGGCGAAATTCATGCTGTCCACGAGCTCGAAAAAGGCGACCACGGACATGGTCCACTGCGGCGCCCACGCCGAGAAAAAGGCCCCGATGTAGATGACGGCCGTGACACAACCGATGAGGACGTCGAACAACGACATGCAGGCGCTCAGCGGAGTAGGGTCCGGATCGCCAAAAAACGACGGGTGTCGGAGCGAGGGACATGGAAACGACGGCAGCGCCACCACAAGCGGGGGGACAGGGGAAAGGCAGCGATAGGGCGGCCCAGGGGCAGCAGGTGCGAGAAGGCGGTGAGAGGAAGCCCAACTCCACACTGGTGGGGATATGCGAAGCGTGAAAAATAGCAGAGGAAACCGTTGCAATTATCGCAACCGTTTGGGGAAAAAACAACGGGGTGGGACCAGTGGGCCAGTTCTTACGCATTGAGCCAGGAGTCCTATCGGCAAACCTATCTTGAATGACGAGATAAAATCGCGCAGATATCACGACCATCACCGTATACCTAATATTCCAGCGTTTTTTTTTTTTTTTTTTTTTGATGTCAAGCCAGATCGATCCGTAAAGGCCCGGGGGCCCGAAGCAGGGCGAGCATTCCCCGTAGGACCAATGAGTGCGACGGCCAGATCTGAAGGGAGGGAAGACCTCAAGGGAGCTGGCGGCGGGAGGCCGAAGGACGACCCTGGAGAAAATCGCGGCACTGCTCTGCCGGCGCGCTGGCCCGCGCGGAACGCGTGCGTGGGCGCGCGCGCGCTCGTGGGACCACCGAGGCTGGCCTGCACGTCGTGGCCGCTTCGCGCGCTGTGTGGGTCTGGCGAGGCCTTGTCACGTTGCCGCCCATGGTCGCCTAGTGGCCGCCTCGTGCGCTGGGTGGGTCCGGCGAGGTTTCGACTTTGCCGCGCGAGGCCGCCTCGTGCTCTGGGTGGGTCCGGCGAGGCTTCGCCACGTTGCCGCCCATGGCCGCTTCGTGGCCGCGTCGTGCGCTGGGTGGGTCCGGCGAGATTTCTCCACGTTGCCGCCCGTGGCCACCTCGTGGTCGCCTCGTGCGCTGGGTGTGTCCGGCGAGGTCTCGCCACATACCTTGCACCACAGAGTTCCCGGGCGTAGCTTACACCACATAGCTTACACATCCACAGTGTAATAACTCACTGCTTAGGGTTCACGCT